AGTCGCCGCCGTGGTGGCCTTCGTCGTCTTCTTCGCCCGGGACAAAGCCGCGGCGGCGTCGCGCCGTGGTTTTGTCGTGGCTACCTTCTTCCTCGTCGATGGTTCCAGTTCGACAACGACAGCGGGACGAGGGGCTGCAAATATGTCGTGCATTTTGGGGGAGGCATGGCGGCGGCGACGACGTCTGGACTGGCGGCAGATGTAGAGGCGACCATCACCGAAGCGGCTTTGGCGGCCGCAGGGTCGGAGGAGGAGTCCATGGGGACCGGCGACAGTGGGTGATGACAGGAGGGTGGTCAGGCGCCACAGCTGCACGCGCGACTGCTCGGATTTTATTCGAGAGGCACAAGTGATGCAAATTTGCATCACCAAGTGTCCTATTTTACACTTAGAGCAAATCTGGAGTAATTTTTTTAATCAACATCATATGTTAAAGCACCGTTTTAGACCATCCATCATGATGTAAAAGGTTATTATTTATACATTATCTGTTGGAGATGTTGTGACTAGAATTCATTGACTACAACCTACCCCCAATGAGTAAAGTCTGATTTAAACCTTGAATTCATACTGCTCGGCGGAATCAAACCCTAACATTCAATCCCTGAAATCTACACCCTGTGGTGTATGATCTTGGCCTATCTCAACCCTAAACCCGCCTCGACTAGTTTGTCATGCTAGGAAAATAATGATCCCGGGCGGGATCACTCTCTACTCTCACTCACTGCATGGGTCCGCATGTCATATCCATCTTCTTTCCCATAATTTTTATCTCTCTCCGCAAGAGTGCGGTATTCGTTCAGAACAATGAGGTGGGGCAGCGGAGCGATGGGGAGGTCCGGGCGTGTCTCGCAGGGAAGAAGGACGAGAGAAATGGATGCATGGGTGCTTGTCTTGTCTCCGTTCGCGCCGTCGACCTGGCGTCGGTGAGCGGCATGCATGCGTTAGGCCTGGCGGTGGCGAGCACCGACGCAGAGCAGCTATCTAGAGCGAGCATTGGAGGGAGAAATAGAGGGAGAGGGGATGACTGGAGCTCCTCCATTAACGCGATATGGCGGAGAGTCGCTGGAATCCACAAGGGCGGTTGGAGCGAGGTCGGAGGCGAGGCGAGCTGCAGGAGAGTGCGCGCACACCAACTGTTCAACGGAATGTTGGTGGCTACGGGAGGAGCAAATGGCGAAGCTGGGGAGTTGGGTGTTAAAATTATGTCGAATATTATTGTACAAGTTAGGTTACAGTTGGACTTGAAATCGTATGGTGTGTAGACAGGATATGGAGTCGTGTCCTAGTAGGACACTTGTATCCTAGGCCTCTCATATATAGCGGGGCTAGACACACGATGTAACCTATGCCAACATAATAGCACAGGCACGCGGGGGAGCCGGCGGCGTGTGCCGGCGCCCGGGCGGCCGGCGTGCGGTATTGTGACGGTGTCATGGGGAGGAGCGCCCGTAGTCATGCCCCGGGGATGTAGCCATATCGGTGAACCTCGTTAACAAATCTCGGTGTCATGCCTCGTGTGATTGCTTGGTCCTCGGTAGATCGACGGAGTGCCTCGGATTATTCTAACAAGTGGTATCATGAGCAAGGTTACGATGAGGTTGCGGATTCGTTGATTTAGAGGATGGATCGTGGTCGAGCTCGGCGCAAAGACGATGTGCGGAAGTGATTGTTCTGTGGAGGTTATACGGTGCGCTGTCGACGAGATCGGGTAGAAGCAATCGGGAATCGTGCGGAGCAACGTACAGGCGCATGAGTGCAGCGGCTGGAGTCTCGGACGGAAACAGCGGCTGCAAAATCGTACTCGAGGTCATCTCGGCGGGAAGCGATGGGCAGCGGTGGCCGCGAGCAGGCAACCCTAGTCAGTGCAACGGGCGAGATCGGATCGATCGGATCCGAGGCAGCGTGCAGGCGGCGCGTCGTACACGGGGAGGGCCGCCAGAGGCTAAGGCCGCAGTGCGGCGCACGGCTGGTCTAGCTGGGGCTGGCCTGTGTGAGGCCGAGACGGGCTGAAAGCCGTATGAGTCCGCGTGGCTGGAGGCTGATGTGCAACCTGGGATGTGTGGCGAGGCACGAGAAGGTGCGGTGCCTGTGTTGCTGTGCATACAGATACACGTGAGATTTGTTTGAAAAAAGGAACCTGCACTAAGGTATGTACGTGGCTTTGGGATGCAACATGATTAAAGAAAAGGAGTGTTGGGAGTTTATGGTGATATGCTTGGTGTACCCATGGAGACTATCAGGAAATCCAGTTTTTTTTTTTTGGAAGTGTTGCAAATTGCGCACGGGATTTTACCGTAAGGTTGGCAGGTTGGTGACATGCGTATAAGGCTCGGAGGAGTTTGAAGTGTGTCGTGACATGATCATGCATACGCAGGGCGTCAAGGCAATGCACGGAGATGTGCAGACACGACGCAGGGTGGAGCATGGTTGCAGTCGGATAATTTCGGCTGGGTCGGACTGGACTGTCTGACGGATCGACGGATATGTTGGTCAAAGCAGAAGACGGCGGTGATTTCAGCGACGACGACATAGGAGTGTGATGCTGATGGTGGCCAACTTCTGGGGCGTGGAAACACGTGGTGCAGGCTTGAGGGCTTGTGCAGCTTCGACAAGACAATGACACAGGGTTGATTCAAGGTTGTGTACACATGAGAGCTTGAAGTCGACAGGGCGTGGGGGTGGCTCGTACAACCACCATGGAGTCATGTTGAAGGTGGAGCTGGAGTCTGACAGATGACTACACTCTGTGCTGATGGAGGGGCTACGACGTAAGTTAACGGAGAGTCGAAGCCTATTTCAGGGGGTAAAGCGAGAGACACGTGGATCGGACTGGGCGCCAGTGGTCTGATGGAGGCGTGATACTCGGCATCGGTTGGTGATGATCGATGGTTCTCTGCAGTGGGGGTTGAGGCAGTGGGGGCTAGCTACCCGGGAGACTCGACCAGGACAGCAGAGGCTCGACGCGGTGATAGCGGCGAGGTGTGCGGTAAGCACGGGGCACAGCGACAGGCCAAGGCACTGGTGGTCGGACATGTGGCCAGACAAAGTGTGCAGGGGGTGTTGAAGTAGTGTTGATGAGTACCAAGTTCAAGTTGGTGACTGGGTCTATCGGTGCTAGTTGATGGACAGGAGTTGACCGTGGAGAATCTGAGAAAGTGGCGGAAAGTCTGAAATTGTCAAAAGCTGAGAGAGTACATGGTCGTATATTCTGTTCTGTTCAGTGCACATGTCAAAGTGCGGATGACAAATACAGAAGGAGGCGGAGTGCTATAGCTGTGGGACATGCCAGAGACTATCCGGAAAAGGGGTGAGACAACTGTGAATTTGACTCAGGGTGACACATGGCGACGGTGAAATTTCTTCAAGTTTCAGACAAGCAGTCAAGAAAGAGCGGTGACGTTAAGTTCAGGTAACTCTTATATGTGGCGTCCAATATGTGAATTGTTCATTTTCATGCAGACAGTGGTCTTTGTGTGATGGCGTTGAACGGATTCTCCGGAAGTTGGAAGCACAAGGTAGAGTAATGAGGAACTTAATTTTGCTCGAGTGTTGATTGTGAAGAAGACAAGAAGGGACTACAGTTGCAGGTGGAGTCACATGGAGTCTGGGAGTAGCAGCGGTGCTCATGGCGTATCCCAAGTCCAATGTACATGGAGGTTCGACGCATGGACGAATTCAAGGTGGTGGAGAATATTCGCCAAGGTGGAGTTTGTTAAAATTATGTCGAATATTATTGTACAAGTTAGGTTACAGTTGGACTTGAAATCGTACGGTGTGTAGACAGGATATGGAGTCGTGTCCTAGTAGGACACTTGTATCCTAGGCCTCTCATATATAGCGGGGCTAGACACACGATGTAACCTATGCCAACATAATAGCACAGGCATGCGGGGGAGCCGGCGTCCGGGCGGCCGGCGTGCGGTATTGTGACGGTGTCATGGGGAGGAGCGCCCGTAGTCATGCCCCGGGGATGTAGCCATATCGGTGAACCTTGTTAACAAATCTCGGTGTCATGCCTCGTGTGATTGCTTGGTCTTCGGTAGATCGACGGAGTGCCTCGGATTATTCTAACACTGGGGAGGAGGCAAGCGTGTGCCATAATTCTTTAGGACCGGGGACGGAACCGGTTCAAGCCAGAAGGAACTGCTGCGCGTGCCCGCGGAGATGCTCAGCAATGGTGGCTACAGCACGGCGTACAAGGTGGTGTCTCTTGCGTCCATGTATTCACACGCAAGCATGCACTGCAGATGCACTGGCTGCCGATGGCCCGATGCAATAATACAAGAGCCTTGTGCAGCATGTTTTTATGTACTCGTGTGTGTAGAACGGCTGCAACGATCGATTCTGCTACTCGAGGCATGCACTTGAAACGCCCAACCAAAACGTAGCCGTGGGAAGGACGCTTCGTCGTGGCAGTCTGGCAGAACATCCACAGCGACAACAAGGACTTTTCTGTTGCGGCCGTGCTCACCGGCCTCTCTGCTCTCGAGCCGGCACGGGCGCACCCTGTACTAGTAGTACCAAACAAATCAAGCTCCACCGTCCGTTCCCTTCACACACACTCCCCTCCGCTGGCCGCTTGCCCGACGAATGGCACCGTGCCACGCCCACGGCCCTCCTCCTCCGCCTCCGCCCCCGCCTCGCCCGCGCGCGGAGCACGAGACACGCCACGCGCTGGCCCCCGGCCACCGCCACCGCCACCAGTCCACCACCACCACTCTTCAGCCCCACTCCACTCCCCGCCGCTTTCCAGCCCGCCGCCCGCTTCAAGCTCCCCTCGCCCCACCAGTCGCCCTGCCTCTCCCTATTCCCCATGGCGTGCTCCGCGGCGGCGGGCGTCGAGGCGACCGCCCTCCTGTCCCCGCGCTGCCCCGCCCCTTCCCCGCCCGACGGCCGCTCCCGCCGCCGCCTCGCCCTCGCCTCCGGCACGCGCCACCGCAGCCTCAGGTTCGTCTCCAGCCCCCCTAATTCGGCCGCTTCGCTGGTGAGATGTATACATGCCGCTGCCATTCCTGGATTCTACGAATATGTCAAGGAGTCGGAATCTGACTTTTGTTGGCTGGCTTTCCAGGGCAGCCGCGCAGCGCCCTCACAAGAGCGCAACCGGCGCCGACCCCCTTTATAACAACAGGGCCAATGTGCGGAGCGACGAGGCGTCGGTTTCCGCTGAAAAAGAACGGCAAAGGGTATGTGCATCATGCTTTCTACTAGCAATCTATATCTTTCCAAATTTGTTTGTCAGCACGCGGAGTGACGCGACAGTAGATGCCGATTCTTCTTTTCCACAAAGCAAATCTGGGGCTTGGCTGCCACTGAAAGGCAATAACTTGCTCATATGTATTTCCACCTTGTTTTAACATAGATGTATGAATTTAAATCAGTTTCTGAATCTACTAACTTGCATCTACTGGCTTCCAAGTAAATTTCGCTCGTAATTCAAGATGGCCAAGAAAATCTAATTTTAAGCTATATTGCCAGCTAATCATGGGTCGTATAATGTTCTATTCATACGAGTAAAAACAATCTTTTTTGCTGTCGTAAGGTATTTCCCCTCAAATACTTCCTCATATCTGTGTATTTGTTTGGCGTTCCATAATTAGTGCTGTATTCCGTATTGCAACACATTAATTGGGATGTGGAGGCCGTTAAAGTAGAGTTGGGACACTACTATTGTATTTGCTCTATATAAACTGATGTATGAGTTCAACCGATGCCCTTGTAAAAATGTAAATAACATTGAAAATGTTATATGCTTATTTTAATATGTCTTTTCAATACAGCAAAAGTAAATCCTGTAAGTGTAGCAATTACTTGTGAATCATTGGTTACAAGTTACAACTGTTCATCATGAGATAGTTCTATTGTGTTTTCGTGTAGGTCCAGCAATTTACCTGTTAGATCTATCAGGCTGAGAGGTTACTTGGTGTGAACATTTTAAAAAGATCTTAAATTCTGTTTTTGTTAAACTGAAGCGAAATGCATCATCATTTTATTACTTCAATAATCAATAGTTATTAGATAAAGGTGCAAAGTTGGCATTGACATCTATATTTTAAACCAAATGGCAGCCAAGCCCTATTTCATTGAGAAATACAGCATACAACAGTTAAACAAAGCTAACATTCGATCAATTTTACTCTGAAATATAATCACTTTTAAATTTGCTCATATTAGTTACTGTTGTTACTTTTAAGAATTTCTAGGTTTTGTGATTTTCCCCACAGAATTACAACGATGGAGATGGCATATCAAACCTTAAGCTGGAAGATTTGGTAGGAATGATACAGAACACCGAGAAGAGTAGGGGATTCCTTCCTTTTGAATATCCATACAGTTTCCTAAAATGCATAGAGTTGTAAGTATGCACATAACAAACACTGAATTGCAAATTGATTTTTTTAGATATACTTCTTTTGAATCAAGCCCGTCTTCAGGCAATGGAACACGCTGATAAAGTTCTTAAAGAAAAGGAAGCCTTGCAGAGAAAGATAAACATTTTAGAGACGAGGTTGTCAGAAACAGATGAACAACATAAGCTTTCAAGTGAAGGGAATTTCAGTGACTCTCCACTAGCATTGGAGCTTGGTATTCTAAAGGAAGAGAACATTCTACTGAAGGAGGACATAGAATTTTTCAAAACAAAGCTTATAGAGGTTGCCGAGATAGAGGAGGGTATATTCAAATTGGAGAAAGAGCGTGCTCTTTTAGATGCTTCCCTTAGGGAGCTGGAGTCTAGGTTTATAGCCGCCCAAGCAGATACGATGAAACTTGGTCCTAGGGATGCCTGGTGGGAGAAAGTAGAAAAATTGGAAGACTTGCTTGAGACCACAGCAAACCAAGTAGAGCATGCTGCTGTGATATTGGACCACAATCATGATCTGCAGGATAGGCTTGACAAATTAGAGGCCTCACTGCAAGCAGCAAATATTTCAAAGTTCTCTTGTTCTCTTGTTGATATTTTGCAGCAAAAAGTCAAATTGGTAGAAGAATGCTTCCAAGCATGTAATTGTGAAATGCATTCTCAGATTGAACTGTATGAGCACTCAATAGTGGAATTTCACGATACTCTTAGCAAACTAATAGAGGAAAGTGAGAAAAGATCACTGGAGAATTTTACAGGAAACATGCCTTCGGAACTATGGAGCAAAATTTCCCTTTTAACTGATGGATGGTTACTGGAGAAGAAAATATCTTACAATGACGCAAGTATGTTGCGAGAAATGGTTCATAAAAGGGACAGTCGTCTTCGGGAAGCATACTTGTCATACAGAGGTACCGAAAACAGGGAAGTTATGGACAACTTACTTAAGATGGCATTACCAGGAACTAGGTACACTTTCTCCTTTGCTAAATGAGAAAACATGTTTATAGAAATTAGTTAGTCTGTAATCTTTATTGATTAATGCAGTTCTGGTTTGCACATTGCCCACATAGCAGCAGAGATGGCTCCTGTCGCGAAGGTGAGTTTTAGTATTAATACAGCCTTTCATGCGTGCATTTAAAATCTTCTATTTGATATTTGGATAATTCACTGCCTAGTATGACTACTATCTAGGGACGCTTAGAGAGAACATTGTTTTAAGCACTAATATTCTGTAAATTAACAAAGTATTAAGTTTTCCAGTGTTTCACATAAATTCGAGCCTATCCACATATCTTACAAGTAACAATAAAGCACTATTTTAAATATATGGTTCTCCTCAGTTGTGTTCAGGTCATGATGATCCAAGGGCTAATTCAAACCGAGGTAAAACTGACAATGTTGAATGTGTGCTATCATTCTTTTTTTGTGAATGGATGTAGCTTTTTACTGTTAAAAAACTGTATGGATGCCCTTTTTTAGCTTATAAATTTTGATTGTGCAGCCATGAAATAGTAAATAAAACTCTGGCTGTACCAAAGGTGGTGAAATTTCGACTTTCATGTCTCAACAAAGTTACTATCTGCAAAAAAGAAAGTCTAAAAGCTGCAGATATTTGTCTGTTGATCATGTGCATAGTGCATACAAGTTGTAGATCAATCTCCCCCAACTGCTTTACATTTTAATCTGTTTCTTGAGAAATTTATTGAACTACTGATGCTGATGCTGATGCAATGACTAATTCTTATGGAATCTGATTTTTGTCCATTCTGATCATTTTGAATCCTATTAGTCATCTTTTATATTTCTTATATGCATGCTTGTTTAGGTTGGTGGCCTGGCAGATGTGATATCTGGTCTCGGGAAGGCACTTCAGAAAAAAGGCCATCTAGTAGAGATCATTCTTCCCAAATACGACTGCATGCAGGTTGACCAAGTTAGCAATCTAAGGGTATGTCATAATGCTGCTTATCTATGTTTTGGTATGATCTTCTGTTAGGGTAAGATTGATATCATGTGATTGTGCAGGTTTTAGATGTTCTTGTGCAGTCCTACTTCGAAGGAAATATGTTCAACAACAAAATTTGGACTGGGACTGTTGAAGGTTACAAGCAACCCTCAGTTGTATCACTGTATAAAATTTATTTAAATCTGCATTAATCTAATTAAATTAGCATATGCAGGCCTACCCGTCTACTTTATTGAGCCACAGCATCCAGCGATGTTCTTTTCGAGGGCTCAGTACTATGGAGAGCATGATGACTTCAAACGTTTTTCGTACTTCAGCCGTGCGGCACTAGAATTACTTTATCAATCTGGGAAGAAAGTTGATATAATCCACTGCCATGACTGGCAAACTGCATTTGTTGTAAGCGTCAAAGATCATTTCACAGCATTGACTCATTGCCTACTTGACATTGATCTATTTTCTTGGTTGATTTACAAAGTTGATTGTACTAAGTTACCCTTTGACATTTAACCTCCAGGCACCTCTTTATTGGGATGTATATGCAAATCTAGGCTTCAACTCAGCTAGAATTTGCTTCACCTGTCATAATTTTGAATATCAAGGAACTGCTCCAGCTCGTGATTTAGCATGGTGTGGCCTTGATGTTGAGCACCTAGACAGACCAGACAGGATGCGGGACAATTCGCATGGAAGAATAAATGCTGTTAAGGTATCAATTATGGCAAACTTTAGCAATATGTTTTGGAACTCAAACTCATAGCTATGGTATCAATTATGCAATTGTTTATTCATATTATTCAGGGAGCAGTTGTGTATTCAAACATCGTGACAACTGTCTCGCCAACGTATGCACTAGAGGTTCGCTCAGAGGTAATATTTCTTACGATTTGTATGTGATGTAGACTTTTTTTGGCTACTTTTTAATCGTCCTTCATGGTCTCACCAGTAGCCTTCAACTTATAAGATTCATCTGCAAAAATAGATAATTTCTAAGCATGTTGGTCAAAATGGCTAATTTTTGGAGGCAACCATTTCTGGAAGAGGATAGCAAGAAATCGCACAAGCTCTGGGAAACAAACACACATATTGCTGTACCTTTGTTTGATCAGTAGTGCCAGACATATTCATGTTTCTACATGGACTGGACACTAAAGAGATGCTACAAAAAGCTTGGATACTTGAGAATACCCTAAATCAAGATATAGTGGCATGCATATCCGTACAGGGCTCTAATGGTCCTAGTGTTTCTAGTTACCATTAGTTTAACTTGTCTTAATCTTCCTCTCAACTGCAATTTCATTTTAGTAGTTTCAATTTGCATGTAAAGCGTTTCCATTTCTTGTGTGCTGATAATGCTCTTATGGTTCCCAGGGTGGGCGTGGACTCCAAGATACACTTAAAGTACATTCCAGGAAATTTCTTGGGATACTTAATGGAATCGACACAGATACATGGAACCCTTCCACAGATAGGTATCTGAAGGTCCAGTATAATGCTAAGGATCTCCAGGGAAAGGCAGCCAATAAAGCAGCCCTCAGAGAGCAACTAAACCTGGCTTCTGCATATCCTTCACAACCACTGGTACGATTGTCGATGCTGTTAAGCTCAGTTCTCAATTACTGGTAAACTGGATATATAAAGGTTCACCCTGTGCTTGAATTTGAACATTTTCCATCTCTTTATTCTCATCAATTTTCTTCGTGGAGTAGTCTGTTAGCTATATGGTTCTATCGTTTGTCATCACATTTATCGGGGCATGGCCCATGTAGTCTGAAATGAATTGCAGCAGTTCCGTTTTTCGATTGTTTTCTTCAGTTAGCTAATATCATTTTCTGATCCCCTGCTGTGTGTATTCACCTCCTTCCATTTGTCTTGGAACTTGATATTGAATGTTAAACTAAATAACTGAAATTTTCTCAAGCAGGTTGGTTGCATTACCAGGCTAGTTGCTCAGAAGGGTGTACATCTTATCAGGCATGCAATCTACAAAACAGCTGAATTAGGAGGACAGTTTGTCCTTCTGGGTTCAAGTCCAGTACCAGAAATTCAGGTGCGTTTATGCCATGCAGTTTATGTCATAGTATATATCTGTGCAGATATTTTGATCAGACATGAATCTCCAAAGTAACAGAAGAAAACCACACTTCAGTACCTCATGAACAGTTTATTTATCACCGAAGGAACATGAGTCTGGAATGGTGTATTTTTTGTCTGTTTTATATTAAGCACCTTTTTTTGCCCATTTCTGGAACGGTGAACATACTTGCTTCTTGTTTTGTTTGCAGAGGGAGTTTGAAGGTATTGCAGACCATTTTCAGAACAACAACAATATCCGGCTGATTTTGAAGTATGATGATGCGCTGTCTCATTGCATATATGCTGCGTCTGACATGTTCATTGTTCCCTCTATATTTGAGCCATGTGGCCTCACTCAGGTGTGTGGCTTCTTCCCATACTTGATGATAAATGCATATCACCTAGTTTATACTAGGTACACATGTAGTAAGCTGACATCGTTTAGTATGACGCGTAATTTGTATCACTTGCTGAAATATATGCTTCAGTTGCCGTGATCATCTGGCACTTTCCTAGAAGTAATTAAACAAGTGCGAGTCTGGCCTCCTTTGCTTCTATCATCAATTTGATGTGTGGCCTTCTGACGCGCAATTTTGACATGCTTTCTTATGCGCAGATGATAGCCATGAGATATGGTTCTGTGCCGATTGTTCGGAAAACTGGTGGGCTGAATGACAGGTAAACAGTGAACCAACCGAGTGTTCCTCCAAACATAGTCGTCACACCCAATCAAAGTAAGAAGTGTAATGGCATGCTTTGTGGTTTCAGTGTCTTTGACTTCGACGACGAAACAATACCCATGGAGGTGCGGAACGGCTTTACATTTGTCAAGGCCGACGAACAGGTAGGTCCTGTTTGCGCGCACAGCCCGGGAAGGGAAAAACCCTAGTCGATGGTTTCTGGCGGGCACAACACGACTCATCTGGACGTTCATTTTGCCAGGGCCTAAGCAGCGCGATGGAGAGGGCGTTCAACTGCTACACGAGGAAGCCCGAGGTCTGGAAACAGCTCGTGCAGAAAGACATGACGATCGATTTCAGCTGGGACACCTCGGCTTCGCAGTACGAGGACATCTACCAGAAGGCGGTGGCTCGAGCGAGGGCGGTGGCGTGAGCGCGCACACACACACGGTAGTTGGTTCCCTGATGCCCCCGTGCCCTCTCTCCCTGGCCCTGCCCTCATGATGCAGACGGCACTAGACGAAATCGAGGGATCATGGAAACAGAATCATATAGGAAGCTCCATGCTCTCGGCGCACATTTCTGGTAAGGGCGTGACGGTGTATCACTGGTTATATGCGCAGTTTCTTGAAGGCAGAACACGAGCTAAAAATAGAGTAGCCACCGTGAGCCGTCAAGATCGTAGTACGTGCACTGTTGTTGGCATAATATTGGTGTAAATTGTAGGCTGTATAGTTTCCTGTGGAGTTGCAACGGAGCAGTATACGTGCAGTGCAGGTTGCAGAGTCGTATGTATTATGCAGAGATCTTATGGTCCGTGAGATGGGAGGTGCAAGAATTTCAGACGCCTGGACCGTAACCATCTGTCAGAAAAATACGTTGATTTTCTTTTTTTCTTTGAAAAAAAGATATTAAAAAAATCCTTGAAAACGTTACAGCATTTTCGGGCCATTAACTCGCCACTATCCCACCGTTTTTTTTTCAAATAAGTTTCTTTTTGAGAAATTTCAAATAAGTTGTAACGACATTGCGCGCAGGCGTCTTACAAAGTGCAGATGGAGCCAGTGGCTGGGCTCCTTCCCATCGGCCCGTTAAGCGGAGAGGCTCAAGGCTCTAGCGAAAGCTTAGAGGCTGCTTGGTTCTTTCGGCTAATTAAATGGTTTTTTTGGGTTTTTTCGACATTTTGGTTTTCCACTAGCCCTCCTTAGCTTTTCGACAAGTTCGGGAGCCACCAGTTAACGAACGCTTCTTCGAGAGCCTCGCAACGATTAGCGCCACTTGACGTGCTCTCAGCCATTTGCCACGTGTTGCGCTTTGGGTGCTTCCTTCGGATTTTGTTTTTTTATTTTTCCGCACGCGTTTTCGGCTATTTAAACGGTTTTTTTGGGGTTTTGCAACGCTTTTGGTTTTCCACTGGTCCTCCTTAACTTTTCGACAAAAAAATATTTGAAAAAAAATATTTTTGCGTGAAAAAATGCATTTTTTTCGCTTCACGAGAGTCACGGCCGTGCCTCTCGGAAAAAAAATGTGTTTTCTGTTTTTTTTTCTTTTGCAAGGGTCATGGTTTTGCTTCTGCGAGAGGCACGGGTGTGCTTTCACGAGAGTCACGGCCGTGCATCTCGGAAACGAAAAAAAAAACATGTTTTCTGTTTTTTTCCTTTCGCGAGTGTCACGGTTTTGCTTCTGCGAGAGGCACGGGTGTGTTTTTGCGAGAGTCACGGTCATGCCTCGGAAA